AAAAAAAAAAAAAAAAAAGTCAGTCACCATTATTTTATACAACATTTTGCAGATGAGAGGACTGAAGCCCACAGAGGGTTAATTAACTTCCCTGAAGTCAGTTAACTGGTAAATGGAGGAACCAGGATTCCAGAGCAAGGAGTCTGACTCTAGACTCACCTCGTGCTCTGAACAGAGGAGCACATGCTTTGGGCTTAGACATGCTGGGGTGAAGGTTGATGTCGAGTCGATTCCAACTCATGGTGACCCCATGTGACAGATTAGAACTGCTCCATAAGGTTTTCTAGGCTGTATTCTTTACGGGAGCAGATTGCCAGCTCTTTCTCCTGTGGAGCTGCTGGGTGGGTTCAAACCGCAGACCTTTCAGTTATCAGCCAAGCGCTTAACCACTGTGCCACCAGGGTTCCTTGGGGTGAAAGCAAGCACCTTGAAAGTAGGCCAGCCCTGTGGAAATCCACCCCAAGGTCATATCCCAAAGATATTTTTACTTTTCACTGCCCTTTTCTTTCTAAGCTTTTGAATTTAAAAGTTTCTTAGAGCATTATTATTTTTTCTTATACATGCAATGACTTCCTGCAGAAGGGAGTGAAAAAGGTGCAGCACATTGAATGTGTGGATCATTTATATTCGTCTTTAGCTTTTCGTAGTAATTTTTTGGTAGTGAATATTTTCGTATTTAAATGAAAAATGATTGGTAAATTCCATTTGGCTTTGTTATAATTGAGTTTTTGTTTTATGAAATGTGTTTACTTTGTTTGATTTTTGTTTTTCATTCCTTACCAAACTTCTCTATCCTTTATTTTGCTCAGCTGTATATGTGTGGCGTTCCTAAACATTGCGTAAAAATTAACAGCAAGAACGCAGAGTCTTTTCAGTTTCACGTTCGGGATTATTTTGGAAAGGAGGCCTTACGGGCTGGAAAGGGAATACAGTTGGCTGATGGTGGATGGCTCATACCCTCCAATGATGGAATGGCTGGAAAAGAAGAATTTTATAGGTACTCTATGTAGAAAGGAGTTGTGCGTTAACTTCAATATATTCCACCATCCCTCGCCTCCCTCTTTTGTCTCTTTCCTTATCTCTTTTGAACTAAAATATTGGCTAGACATCAAATTTTCATACATTGAATAATTTTAAATGCATTGTGGTTCAGGAGACATTCTGTTGAAATCATTTAGAAGGTGAGTTATGATTTGTCTAGGATATAATGAATTAAGTAGCGTTTTCTTAAACTGGGGCATTTTTCCGGTGCGTTTACAAAATAAAGGCTGATAAGAAGAGTTCGGTTTGACTTGGCCTTATAGTTGATTCCTCTCCCTAGCTTATGTCATAATATTCTTTCATTGTGTAGTTCAATAAATATAACATGACCCATTGTTGCTGATTCCAACTCACGGCAACCCAGTAGGACAGAGTAGGGTTTTCTAGGCTGTAATCCTTATGGAAGCAAACTGCCACATCTTTCTCCCTTGGAGCGACTGGTGGATTTGAACCGCCAACCTTTTGGTTAGCAGCCAAGCGCTTAGCCACTCTGCCACCAGGGCTCCTTCCTTAAAGATTACAGCCAAGAAAACCCTATAGAGCAGTTCTACTCTGTCCTGTGCTATGAGGGACGCTGCAGCTCATGCCAACAGCAAGAGGTGAGAAACTTTTCTTCGGTGCTCTTAAAAACTTTTTGTACATCTTTCTAGAACATACGGTTTTTGGAAAGTGCGAGAACATTTTTTTTCCTTAAATTGGAGGTCTTGATATATTTTTTGAGTATTTTAAAGCAGGAAAGTTTTTTATACCTTGTAGATGTCTCATCTAACAAACATCTGCTATCAACTTCAGTAGAAAAAATACGATTTACGAGTTGTGTTATATACTTAAACAGACTGCATAATTCAGAGGTCAGCCGTTCTCACCCTGTAATCGGGTGGGCGGGATTCATACCGTTTGAGCGTTGAAGCTAATAAGCTCTCACTAGTCGTTTTTTGGTCTGTTCAGCAGATGTGTCTGAGCACCTACTATGGTCCAGGTACTGTTCCAAAAAAACCAGTTGCTGTCAAGTCAACCCCGACTCATGGCGACCTCATATTTATCAGAGTAGAACTGTGCTCCACAGGCTTTTCAATGGCTGATTTTTCATAAGTAGATCACCAGGCCTTTCTTCCAAGGTGCTTGTGGGTGGATTTGAACCTGTAGTCTTTCAATCAGCAGCCAAGAGTGTTAACCGTTTGTACCACCCAGGGACTGTTCTGGGTACTGTGAATAACAAAATAAAACAAAGAAAGCCCTGTCCCGATAAATCATACATTCTAGTGTGGGGTGGGGCGGGGACTGGAGAGGGTCACGTCCCTGAGTGGTACAAATGGTTGAAGAGCTTGGCTGCTAACTGAAAGGTTAGGTTTTCAAGTCCACCCAGAGGTGCCTCTGAAGAAAGGCCTGGCTATCTCCTTCCGAAAAATGAGTCATGGAAAACCCTGTGGCGCACAGTTCTACTCTGACACATACGGGGTCACTATGTGTAGGAACCAGCCTGAAGGCAGCTGGTTGGTTAGTGGGAGGAAACAGAAAATAAATAAATCAATTGTGTAGAAGGTGATAAGTACTGTGAAGAGAAATCAAGCTGGGAAGGGGTTGGCAGAGCTGGGTCAGGAGAGGTGCTGTACTTAATAGAGTGAGTAGTTAGGAAGGCTTCCCTGCGTAGGTGACGGTGATGTTTGATCGGTGACCTGACGGCGGTAAGCGTGAGTGAGCAGTATCTGGGAAGCCTCCAGTCGCCGAGGTGGGAGTGTGCCCGGCCTGTCTGACGAGCAGGAAGCTGCAGGAGTGAGGGCAGTTGCAGCTCACGGTCCTCGATGGGCAGGAAGAGAGGGAGGCTAGTGCACAGAGGTCCCCACAGTAACAGGGAGGCAGAGTGTGTGGCCATGGGTGTCGGTGGGTGGGCGGGCGTGAGCCTGCCAGCTCTTGGGTCCTGTGTTCTTAGTGGAGGAGTGGGAATGGGGGAGGGAGAGGAGCCGGAGAATTGAGACTACAGGGAAAGATATCGAGGAGAGCACCAGGACTAGGGAAGGAAATTCTCAGGTGCAATTTCCAAAAATTATCTCTTCAATTAAAAAAATAATCTAAAATATAATTATTTTCAATTAAGAACCTTATTTTCCAGGAACACACATATACGAGTTGAAATAGCTGTGTTGGTTAGTATGGTAGGTGAATTGTTATTAGTGTGCTATTTTGATACATATCAAACCCCTTTCCAAAATTATTTTATCCCATGTTAACTCATAGACGCTTACTGTTGAATGATTTCACACTGTGTGGCGTTTTGTGTAGAGAATATTCCTAGTTGTTGAGTTCAGTGTCATTTTACATGGTTCGTATTGTGTTGTTCTACCTTCACTTATTCAGGGCTCTGTGTGACACCCCCGGTGTGGATCCAAAGCTCATTTCTAGAGATTGGGTCTATAATCACTACAGATGGATCATATGGAAACTGGCAGCTATGGAATTTTCTTTCCCTAAGGAATTTGCTAATAGATGCCTAAGCCCAGAAAGGGTGCTTTTTCAGCTGAAATACAGGCAAGTGTAAAGCGTCACATGCCGTGCTCACGCTGTGGTGTGCTTGGCTTCTGCATGGTCTGTGCCAGAGGTGGGACACGAGCAGCCGTCAGCGGCAGCCACGCCCCATACTGCTTGCTGTCCATGCTGGTAGAGACTGTCTCCTGTCACCCCCGAGCGCCAACTGAACGGGAACGCACACTGCTGCACCTCTTGCTTCCACCTTCCCTGGCCCCCTCTGGATGTCTGAGAAGGGTGTGAGTTGCTAATTGGATCCTCTACTCAAAGATTGTTAATAAAACATGCTTGCATTTTTCTTGTTTTTAATATTTAATTCATACTTCAATAATACAAAACTTAAACTTTGCTAGCTATCAAATTTTAGATTTTCATCCATCTCCGTATTTCTCTGATAAAGAAATTTAATTTTTATTCTCAATTATTCACTGACCTTTTACGGTGAATTGGTGAATTCTAGATTCACAATTCCTAAACTGTGCATTTTCTGTTTTAATTTTAGATATGATATGGAAATTGGTAGAAGCAGCAGATCCGCTATAAAAAAGATAATGGAAAGGGATGACAGCCCCGCAAAAGCCCTTGTTCTCTGTGTTTCGGCAATTGTTGCATCAAGCCTGGATGTCCATGAACCCTCCAGCAGTAAGACCAGTAGTGTGGATATCAGAAACGCGGCCGTCCTTGAGCTTACAGACGGGTGGTATGCTGTCAGAGCCCAGCTCGACGCCCCCCTCTCAGCACTCCTGAAGATGGGCAGGCTGACGGTGGGTCAGAAGATCATTACGCATGGAGCAGAACTGGTGGGTGCTCAGGATGCTTGCACACCTCTGGAAGCCCCAGAATCTCTCGTGTTAAAGGTAAACCAAATTAACCTACACTCTTGGCAAAAATCAGCTCCAATTCAGTTAAATCCTAGACGGCTTTTGCATCTAAAGTTGTCCATTCACTTATGCATGTTCCAAGGATGCTACATTTCTTGAAAACATACTGCTAACCAAAAGGTGAGGTACCCTGGTGGCACAGTGGTTAAGTACTCTGCTGCTAACAGAAAGGTCGGTGGTTCCAAGCCATCAGCGGCTCCACAGGAGGAAGATGGTGGCAGTCTGCTTCCGTAAAGATGTACGGCCTTGCACCCTTCAGCCAAAGATTAGACAGGCCCATAAAACAAAGCAAGCCTAAATGGGCACACCAGCCCGGGGCAAGGACAAGCAGGCAGGAGACGACAGGAAAGCTGGTGGTGGGGAACCCAAGGTCAAGAAGGGGAGAGTGTTGACATGTTGTGGGGTTGGCAACCAGTGTCACAAAACAATATGTGTATTAATTGGTTAATGAGAAACTAACTTGCTCTGTGAACCTTCATCTAAAGTACAATAAAAAAAAAAAAAGGATTTACAGCCTTGGAAACTCTATAGGGGCAGTTCTACTCTGTCCTACATGGTTGCTATGAGTTGAAATCTACTTGACAGCAGTGGGTTTGGATTTTGGAACCAAAAGGATAGGAGTTCCAACCCACCAACAGCTCCACAGGAGAAAGATGTGGCAGTCTGTTTCCATAAAGATTACAGCTTAGAAACCATATGGGGCAGTTCTGCTCTGTCCTACAGGGTCACTATGAGTTGGAATTGACTCGATGGCATGAGACTTTTTTTTTTTTTAATCTTAGTATAAGAAGTAAATTCCTGATTCAATTAAAAATTTTTGTGCTGTTTATGGGAGAGCCAAAGATAACGTCTTGTGCTAAAATAATGGCAGTTGTAGTGAAAGAGCAGGAGCAGGTTTGCACCAGATGTTCTATTTTGGTGCCTGAGCTCCTGCGGCCATCTTGTTCTCATAACTGCTCTGCTTCTACCCTGCTTACTCAGTCAGATGCTATTCCAGTGTGAGGAGATACTAGATTCCAGTACTTCTTGAATGTATAGTAGTAAAATGTGCTGCACATCTCTTTAATTTCACCGACATAACAGGACATTGTCATGTTGAATGCTCTGCAGTGTTGTTACCACAAATTACTACTAATATTGCATATTCAGATTCATGTTCAAAGTATCTTACAGAGAATTTACTTCTATTCTGGATCAGTCTAATTCAGGAAAACATCTTAGAAATCAAACATTTTTAAGATAAAGAAATACGTAACTTGTCCTTAGGTCTGTATTGGGTTGCTTTTTCCTGAAAGGATTCCACCAAGCTGAAACAGGCATTTGTTTTATGTTGCTTAGAATATCCAAGTAGCAGCGGTCTTCATCTTTTTGTTTTATTGGTTTTGATTTTATCAAAGCAGTGTTGTTCGGTGCTGTGGAGTCTGTTCCGACTCATAGCGACCTGTGTACAACAGAACGAAACGCTGCCTGGTCCTGCACCATCCTCACAATTACATTATAATAACTAAGAAAAATACTGTTTGTAGCTGAGCACGTAATATGCCATGATTATATTTCCTTTCTTTATAATGTCTTGCTTTCCCCTGGAGTCATTAACTATCTTGCTTCTTTGTTTTTCTTAATTTTTTGTCTCCTTAGCCCTAACTCATTCCCACACAGGAGCTGTAAGAATCCTCTCAATATGGTACAATCCTTTTATTGATTCTTTTTCTTGGAGACCTCCTGGGCCTGTCCATACTCCTGCTCCATTCTGGAGAGGTCTGTGTATACTCCACACCTGTCATTCCAGAAATTCCTTTCCCCTCATCTCTGTTTTAGAAGCCCTGTTTCCTAGATCCCATGTGGTCTTGCTAGACTTACTCCTAGTTGTGAGGGCACATGCCCCAGAGACTCTTCAGAAAGGAAGCCTGCAGCTTTTTGAGTCCTTACTGTAAGGTCAGCTGAATATAGAACGTTAGGGTGAAAATCCTTCCTTCAGAATTTTAAGGACATTTCTTTTGTTTATCTTCTGTTTCCAGTATACCTCCTGCTAAGTTCAGTTCTGTTGGGATTCCCAGTCCTTGTTTTGTGTCCTGTTTTTAACAAGTTGCTAAGATCTTTTCATCTCCAGCATTCTGAAGCTTCACGTGAAGTACTTCAGTGTCGGTCTGTGTTTATTCACTGTCTTGTGGACTCAGGGGCAGTCAGCTGAGAAACACACGTCCTTTATTGAGTTCGAAATTTTCTGGAAGCAGTTGTTTGGTAATTGTCTTCCTTCCATTTATTTCTCTTCTGTTTTGTGGAACTTCTGAGGTTTAGACAGTAGACTTCCTGGATGGATCCTCTAATTTTCTTATATTTCTTCCTGTCTTCTATTTCCTGTTCTTGTTTTTTTCCCATACTTTCTAGAATATTTCTTAATTTTATCTTCAAATTCTTAAAGTGCATTTTTGTTTATGCTCATAATTTTCAGTTTTCGAGAGATCTGTATTACTCCTTGAATGTACCAAAAAGGATTACTCAGCATTCAGCCATTTCAGGTGGTATCATACGATCAAGAACCGATGGTGTTGAAAGAAGTCCAAGCTGCACTGAAGGCATTGGCAAAAACAAGGCTCCAGGAATTGACAGGATACCAGTTGAGATGTTTCAACAAACAGATGCAATGCTGGAAGCGCTCAGTCATGTATGCCAAGAAATTTGGATGACAGCTACCTGGACAGCTGACTGGAAGAGTTCCCTATTTGTGCCCATTCCAAAGAAAGGTGATCCAGCCGAATGCAGAAATTATTGAACAGTATCATTAATATCACAGGAGAGTAAAATTTTGGCTGAAGATTATTCAGAAATGGTTGCAGCAGTACCTTGACAGGGAACTGCCAGAAATTCAAGCTGCATTCAGAAGAAGAAGGGAAATGAAGGATATCATTGCTGATGTCAGGTGGATCTTGGCTGTAAGCAGAGAATACTAGAAAGATGTTTACTTGTATTTTATTGACTGTGCAAAGGCATTTGACTGTGGGAATCATAACAAATTACAGATAATGTTGTGAAGAATGGGAATTCCAAAGCACTTAATTGTGGTTGTGAGGAACCTGTACATAGACCAAGAGGCAGTTGTTGGAACAGAACAAGAGGATACTTTGTGGTTTAAAATCAGGAAAGGTGTACATCAGGGTTGTATCCTTTTAGCATACTTATTCAATCTGTGTGCTGAGCAGATAATCAGAAGCTGGACTGTATGAAGAAGAATGAGGCATCAGGATTGGAGGAAGACTCATTAACAGCCTGTGACATGCAGATGACACAACCCTGCTTGCTGAAACTGAAGAGGACTTGAAGCACTTACTGATGAAGATCAAAAACCACAGCCTTCAGTATGGATCATACCTCAACATAAAGAAAACAGAAATCCTCACAACTGGACCAATAAGCAACATCGTGATAAACGGAGAAAAGATTGAAGTTGTCAAGGATTTCATTTTATTTGGATCCACAGTCAACACCCATGGAAGCAGCAGTCAGGAAATCAAAAGATTTGCATTGTGCAAATCTACTGAAAAAGACTGCTATAAAGTGTTGAAAAGCAAAGATGTCACCTTGAAGACTAAGGTGCACCCGACCCAAACCATGGTGTTTTTAGCAGCCTCATATGCATGTGAAAGCTGGACAGTGAATAAGGAAGACCAGAGAAGAATTGATGCCTATGAATTATGGTGTTGGTGAAGAATATTGAACATACCATGGATTGCCAGAAGAACGAACCAGTCTGTCTTGGAGGAAGTACAGCCAGAATGCTCATTAGAAACGAGGGTGGCGAGACTTTGTCTCAAGTACTTTGAACATGTTATCAGGAGAGACCAGTCCCTGGAGAAGGACATCATGCTTGATAAAGTAGAGGGTCAGCAAAAAAGAGGAGGACCCTCAGTGAGATGGATTGACACAGTGGCTGCAACAACAGGCACCCCACCCTTAGTTGCCTCTGCCTGGTGTTCCAGCACCCAGGATATGTGTGGTTCAGCCTTCTAGAAGGTAAACCAGAACCCAAACCTATTGCCATCAAGTCAATTTGAGTAATAGCGACCCCATATGACAGAGTAGAACTGCCCTATAGGGTTTCCTAGGCTGTAATCTTTACGGAAGCAGATCACTGGGTCTTTCTTCTATTGAGTGGCTGGTGGGTTTGAACTGCCAGCCTTTCAGTTAGCAGCTGAGCACTTAGCTGTTGGGTCCCAGAGCTCCTTCAGTAGGTGCACGCTAAGTGCTGTATAACTGTTCACTATTATTAGGTGTCATCTTTCTCTGAGCTGCTTTGTCATTTACCACTTGTCCAGTGAATTTTTAGATTCCAAAATTTTGGTGACGTCTTGTCTTAGTCATCTAGTGCTGCTATAACAGAAATACCACAAGTGGGTGGCTTTAACAAAGAGAAGTTTATTCTCTCACAGTCCAGGAGGCTTCAAGTCCAAATTCAGGGCATCAGCTCCAGGGGAACACTTTCTCTGTGGGCTCTGGAGGAAGGTTCATGTCATCAGTCTTCCCTGGGTCTGAGAGCTTCTCAGCGCAGGAATCTCAGGTCCAAAGGACGTGCTCTGCTCCCAGCACTGCTTTCTTGGTGGTATGAGGTTCCCACGTGTCTCTGCTCACTTCTTTCTTTCCTATCTCAAAAGAGATTGGCTTAAGACAGTATCTAATCTTGTATACCTCATCAGTATAACTGCCGCTAATCCATCTTATTACATCATAGTGATAGAGTTTACAACACGTAAGGAAATCACATCAGATTACAGAATGGTACGCAGTCATACAATACTGGGAATCATGACCTAGCCAAATTGATACACGTATTTTTAGGGGGACATAATTCAATCCATGACGCATCTCAGCTATGTCTCTTCTCTCCAGGTTTCTGTTCTCACATGTTCTTTGAGGGGCCCAGATAAATCAGTCTGTTTAATTCATCATGCAGCCACTGTGTGAGTCCATCTCATGGGGTCTTCCTTCCTCTCTTTTGCTGACCCTCTGCTTTACCAATCCTGATATTCTCTCCAGGGACTGGTCCCACCTGATAACATTTCCAAAGTACATGAGATGAAGTCTCGCCATCCTCCCTTCTAGGGAGCGTTCTGGCTGTACTTCCAGGACAGATGTGTTTGTTCTGTTGGCAGTCCACGGTATATTCAGTGTTCTTCACCAGCACCATAATTCAGAGGTATCCATTCTTCAGTTCAATTGAAGTCTCTTTTGTCCATTTTTTTAATAAAAATATTTAAATAACAGGGCTTTATGGCAGTATCAGCATTAAGTTTTTTGAGAAGTACTGTATGGTGAGTGTTTTCATTTTCATGCAACACTTTCTCACTTTCCTTTCCATGAGAATTTTTTATTAATTTTTTTATTATTATTTTATTGTTGTAATTAAATGGAGTTTACATTTCAAGTTAGTCTCCCATACAAAATTTTTATACATACATTGTTATGAGACCCTAATTGCTCATCCCATTCTGTGACAGCACACTCCTCCTTTCTGCCCCTGATTCCCCATGACCATTCAACCTGCTCCTAACCCTCTCTGCCTTCCCATCTCACCTCTGGACGGAAGCTGCCCCTTTGGTCTCTTGTATCTACTTGCGCTAAGAGGCACACTCTTCACAAGTATCACTTTACGTCCCACAGTCCAGTCCAATCCCTGTCTGAAGAGTTGGCCTCGGAAATTGTTTTAGTTCTAGGGTGATAGTCCAGGGGCCATGCTTTCCAGGGCACCTCCAGTCTCAGTCAGACCATTAAGTCTGGTCTTCTTACTGGAATTTGAGTTCTGTACCCCATCCTTCTGCTGCTCCATCAGGGACCCTCTGTCGTGTTCCCTGTCAGGACATTCATTGGTGGTAGCCGGGCACCATCTAGTTCTTCTGGTCATCTATGAGAATTTTTTTAAATAATATTTTATTGTGGTTTTGATGAAAGTTTACACAGCAGATTAGGTTCCCATGCGACAGTTTCTGTGTGTACTGTTGTGATGCTGGTGACGTTCTCCCCAATGTGTCGGCGTTCTCGTTGTTTCCCCGCTGGTGGTTCTCTTTCCAGCCATCTGCTTTCCTTGCCCCCTTACCTTCTTATCTGTGCTTTAGAGGAATTGATGACCATTTGTTCTCCTATGGATGATTTTTTAAAGGAGCACAGTACTTATGGGTAATATTCATTATTTTTTGAGCCAGGCTGTTATTTAGCTGAATCCATGAGAATTTGAAAGTGAATATTTTTAAAAGAGCCCTAAAAGAATGAAGAATATTATGAAATCTGTAATAGAATTGAATATATGTTTAATTTCTAAATTGGTTTGTTCTTTGATTCATCCAGATCTCTGCTAACAGTACCCGGACTGCTCGTTGGTATGCCAAACTTGGCTTCTTTCCCGACCCTAGGCCTTTTTCTCTGCCCTTGTCTTCTCTGTTCAGTGACGGCGGCAGTGTTGGCTGTGTTGATGTGATCATTCAAAGAACTTACCCTGTACAGGTATGACGTATCCCTGAAACTTACTCTGCGTTTCTTTCTTTTGAGACAGCTAATTTGACTGTTTTCCTCCCTGCGTGTATTTTTCCTTAAAACATGTTATAGTGGGTGGAGAAGACATCCTCTGGATTATACATATTTCGTGATGAACGAGCAGAAGAAAAGGAAGCAGCAAAATATGCAGAGACCCAACAAAAGAAGCTAGAAGCCCTGCTCACAAAAATTCAAGTGGAATTTGAAGAGCAGGAAGGTAAAATGAGTTGTATATGACAAGTCTTTATTTTTCATGAGGACAGAGTTTCAGGAGCTTCTCTCTTTACATTTGTAACTGAGCGAATTCATTTTGAGTAATAATTTTTTTCTAATTTTGAATCTGAATTTTTTCTGATTTGTTTAAAAAATCTTATTACATAGATACACAGATAAGCATCGAACTGACCGAATTATCACATCTTTATTCAACACCTTGAGCTTTTAGATGTTGATTTTATCTTAGGAAATAAAATACTACATATCCATAGCACTTGTCAGAAGTCTTAAGTAAACTCCCTCTTAAGCTTTGGTACTAAAGTATTTGCAGCGTCCCTGCCTTTTTCGGCGTTAGAGAATGGCAGAAGAGGGAGAGCTATCCAGTGATTTTCCCCACGCATCACCGTGTGTCACTGTTTCCTCAACGTCCTTATCTATGTTATGGAATGTTTGCGTTTCTGTTGTTGTTAGTTTTCTTGTTACTATACCTGGAGCTAGAACCTGTTTTCCCTGTAGCATTTTTTTTTAAATACATGTTATATTTTAGAACAATTTTAGTTTTACAGAAAAATTGTGCAGAAGTACAGAGAGTTCCTGTGCACCCCCCCCCCGCCCCGCTGACCTCCACACACTGTTTCTCCTGTTATTAGCATCATGCATTCCTGTGGCACATTTGTGACAGTCGATGACCCAATACTGACATGTTACTATTAACTAAAGTCCATAGTTTACATTAGGTTTCACGCTTTGTATTGTACAGCCTTACGGGTTTTGACAAATGCATGTCCTGTGTCCACCATTATAATATCCTACAAAATAGTTTCACTGCCCTAAGAATGCCACGTACTCCATGTAGTTGACCTTTCCTCTCTCCCTGTCTGGGCCCCTGGCAGCCACTCACCTGTTTGCTGCGTCTGTTGTGTGTCTGTTTCACAGGGTCGTGTAGTTGGGATTATATAGCATGTATAGCGCACAACTTTTTCAGACTGGTGTCTTTCACTTAGCAGCATGCATGTCAGGTTTCTCCGTGTCTTCGTAGCTAGATAGAAAATTTCTTTTGTCACTGAGTAATCCTCCTTTGTATGGATGTATCACAGCTTGTTGGTCTAGTGTATTCTTCACCTGTTGAAAGACATGTTGGTTGCTTCTGTTTTGGGGCAATTAGAAATAAAACTGCTGTAAACATTTGTGTGCAGGTTTCTTTGTGGACAGACATTTTCAGCTCATTTGGGTAAATACCTAAGAGCATAATTGCTTGATCACATGGCAAGCCTCCGTTTAGCTTTGTAAGAAGGTGTCAGACTGCCTTCCAGAGTGGCTGCACCACTTTGCATTCCCACCAGCAGTGAGCCTGCGTTCCTGTTGTTCACTTCCTCGCCACCATCTGCGGTTTTCAGTGTTTGTAATGTTAGCCATTCTGATAGATACAAAGTGATGTATCATGATTTTTATTTGCAATTCCCTAGTGACATATGATGTTGAACATCCTTTCATATGCTGATTTGCTATCTGTACGTCTTCTTTGGTGAGGTGTCTGTAACATCCATTTTAATAATAAAAATCATAGTGTTTTTATGCTGAAAGAACATAAAATTTACTTTTTCTAATCTACCTTTTTTTATTGCCTGAAGATTTTATGTTTTCCTGCATTTCCTCATGATTTTCTGTATTATTTAACTTCATCTTCTATATAAATTTTTAGAAAAATTGGACTCAGCATTTTATTTCCTTAAAAATTATCACTAACTCATGCTGTTTTTATACGTGTTACTTTAGTTAACTGTGAGTATACTGGTTTCACATTTTCCTAGAAAACTCTTAACAGATGAGTGGTTTCTTATGTTTTAATTCCATGATGTGGGTGTCTTCGCTTTTGTTCTCAGGATTTCAGTGTTTTTAATTTTGTGGTTTAGCTAATTAGTGACACGTTTGGGGGTTATTTTCCTAGAAAATACTCCTAAACGATGTAGACCATCACGGGCACTAACAAGACAGCAAGTCCGTGCCCTGCAAGATGGTGCAGAGCTGTATGAAGCCGTGAGGAACACACCAGACCCGGGTTACCTGGAGGTGAGAGTCAGAGCCGCGAGTGACGCGCTTCAGGCATCATCCTGTAGCTGGCACGCTGCGTTCGCTCGTGGCCACTGCGGGGGGCAGCGTGTTGAAATGCTGTTTCTCACACGGCAGTGTCTACGTTTCTGTGCATTTCTGTAATGTGCACACCAGTGCTGTGCATTCCCGATTCCATACCAAGTGAAGGACAGGAGGGTTAGGTGTTGTTTATGTATTAAATGACTGTGGTTTAAGATGCGTTCTAAATGAATGCTTCTTTTTAAGATAAAATAAGCCTCTTCAGAGCAGGGTCTTGGTTTCTGTGGTGCCGTGCTGTCTCAGTCCTGCCTGGGTCTGCTGCATCGTCCTCTCCCTTGAGGCACTGAGATGGAAGCACTCTCCGGTACGGGAATGGAGCAGGCTTTAGGGTCACCGCTCTGCCATCTATTAGCTGAGCAGATTGGGCATAAAATAGCTATAAAATGGGTGTGAAGTGCATCGTTTTAGGATTAAATTAGATAATGTGTATAAAAGTGCACCCGTTAAACCAAACCCCTTGCCATTGAGTCAATTCTGACTCATAGCGACCCTGTAGGACAGAGTAGAACTGCCCCATAGGGTTTCCAGGGAGCCGCTGGTGGATTCGAACTGCCCACCTTTTGGTTAGCTGCAGAGTGCTTCACCACTGTGCCACCAGGGCTCCATAACCTATAAAGTTCCATATAAATGTTAGCTACTATTATTAGAGCATTATTTCATATATTAACGTAAGCTACCACCTAAACTAAATTTTTAGACAGCTGTGTGTCTGAAAACCCTAGTGGCGCAGTGGTTAAGAGTTCGGCTGCTAACCAAAAGGTCAGCAGTTTGAATCCACCGGGCGCTCCTTGGAAATTCTATGGGGCAGTTCTACTGTGTCCTGCAGGGTTGCTATGAGTTGGCATTGACTTGACAACAACGGGACAGGTGTCTGAAAAGGAGCCCTGGTGGCACAGTGATTTTAAGTGCTCACCTGCTAACCGAAAGTTTGGCAGTTCGAATCCACCAGCTGCTCCACAGGAGAAAGAAGTGGCAGCCTGCTTCCATAAAGATTTACAGTTTTGGAAACCCTGTGGGGCAGCTCTACTCTGTCCTATAGGGTTGCCAGGAGTCGGAATCACCTCAGCGGCACACAACAACGATAATGAGCAATGCTACTCTAAATAGAATTCCCTCATGCCACCAGTGTTACAACGTAGGTTCTCCTGTGAAAAGTGAGTCCAGTTCTAAAGCCTGTGAGTGGACTTGCTGCAAGTCCGTAAGTTAAGGCTTTATTATGCTTTCCTGAAATATTGTTTGCCTCTGACTGCTAAGACATTGTTACATTTCTTGAAGCTTATGCTTTCTGTGAGTCATCGTAAAGATAGCTTCGGTTTTATCTACAAAATGTATTAGTCTGATCCCCTTTATAGAATTAATCATAGTATAATAAAACCCAACCAGTTGCCATCATGTGGGCTCCAACTCATGGCAACCCCACATGTGTCAGAGTAGAACTGCGCTCCGTAGGGTTTTCGGTGACTGATTTTTCAGGTGTAGATCACCAGACGTTTTCCTCTGAGGTGCCTCTGGGTGGACTCACACCTCCAACCTTTCTGTTAGTAGCTGAGCATGTTAACTGTTTGCACCACCCAGAGACTCCCATATTATCGTATAAGGAGGAAATAACAAGGCAGAATGAGAGCTGGAGGACTAAGTTCTAAACTTGGTCCTGTCCCTGTGTAGCTGGATGAGTGATTTATCTCTTAGAGCCTCATTCCCTCCTCCCTTCAAGGAACAGCCTTACAGTAGATTGCCTCTAAGGTTCTAAGCTTGTATGATTCTGCATGATTTGACTTAAAGTTATCATTGTAATTCTTGGAGGGAAAAACAGCTATCAGCTTCTAAAATCCTCGTCAGAGGATTTGTTTTGAATGACATGTTAATGTTGTGGGACTTAGGAAGTTGCACTGAAGTTAATGACTGTCTGCGTATTTAGAAGAACGTGAGGGGACAGAGGTTTTATAGTGCTTCTTCCCAATATAGATTGGGATGTTAAGGTGTGTAAGGCGGCGGTCTCTTTTCCGAGACACCTCTGGGTGGGCTCAAACCGCCACCGTGTTGGTTATGAGCGCTTCAACCATTACTGCCTGGGTGGCGCGGATGGTTAAGCCCTTGACTGCCAGCCAAAAGGTTGTCGATTCAAACCCACCCACTGGTGCCTGGGGAGACAGGCCTGGTGATCTGCTTCCAAAAGGTGACAGCCTTGAATACCCTGTGGAGCAGTTCTACTCTGTACACATGGGCTCGCCACGAATTGGCATCAACTCAGTGGCAACTAACAACAACAGGGCAGCAGTATTCTACTATGTGATGTGTCTACGGTCCGTTTCCTATTTTATTTCATTTATTTCTTTGCTTTTTTCATATTCGGTGAGATTCCCAAGAGTTACAGGCAGCAGTTTGCCAAAATGATTGAGAGAGAAGTGTAGAGACAAAGACGTAAGTGCTTTGAAGCACATGGCTGCTTTAAATTAGATCTGCTGTTCCAAAGAGTTAATGAAATTACATTACAGGAGCTAAGAATAAGGGTTTGTGCGCCAACTCCTACCTGTCTGGCGTGGGCGAGTTATGTGACCTCTCTGTGCCTCTTCTGTATTTCATCATCTGCAATGTGGAAGCAGTAATAGTACCTACCTCACAGGGTTATTGGAGGATTGAATGAATTAACCCATTTGCTGCATGTGGATCCATTCCTCGAATATAATAAGCACTCAGATGTTAGCTGTTTAACATGTAGATGGTAAAGACGGTGATTATTAGAATATATTTATAATTAGGGGCTTGTATTGGCCCTTGGGGAGTTCGTTACAAGGATTAGTGAATAATTTAAGGGACCTGAGAATATGTGATAAAGGTAAAGGTAAATGTATTAATCCTCCTTTTTGTATTTGAGGTATTTATATTCACACTCTTTAAAGTGAACTCAATTCTGTGGTATTTTATCCTCATTTAAAGTGATCTAGGTACAGGTTATGGGACTTGTTGTGTTTGGTTTGCTTTTATTCCGGTGTCGCCTGCCTTAATATTTTTAATGGTTACAGGATTATTTCAGTGAAGAGCAGCTGAGAGCCTTGAATAACCACAGACAGATGTTGAATGATAAGAAGCAGGCGCAGATCCAGCTGGAATTCAGGAAGGCTGTAGAATCTGCTGAACAAGGGGAGCCAGCTTTGTCAAGGGACGTGGCGACTGTGTGGAAGCTGCGTATTGTAAGCTATGAGGAAAAGGAGGAAGACTCAGGTCAGTACGTAAGTTTTTGTTTTTTTAAATCAGTTTTGTTAAGTTAAATAAATGATCTTTCTTATGAATAAAATGATTACAAATGCTAGATAAAATATAAAGTGTGTGTCAGAGGTGCAGAGTGGGCCACCACTGCCCACAGTGTAACAATGTCGTCCTTAGATCTGTGCTGTTACAACCAGTCTTTGTTTTAAACAAGGATTTTAATGATTATCAATTCTTCCGTTGTGGTTTTTTTTTCCATCTTTTTTTATGCAGTTATATTGAGTATCTGGCGTCCATCGTCAGATTTATTTTCCCTATTAACGGAGGGAATGAGATACAGAATCTATCATCTTGCAGCATCAAAATCTAAAAGTAAATCTGAAAGAGCTAGCGTACAGTTAACAACAACAAAGAAAACCCAGTATCAACAACTGCCGGTACACATTTTTCATTATAATACTTCAGTTCTGATAAATGCACATTTGTTTATAGAATCTCCATTTACTTAAATGTTCACTTCTTTCCCCCCCATAGGCTTCAGATGAAATCCGATTCCAGGTTTACCAGCCAAGGGAACCCCTTCACTTCAACAGATTATTAGACCCAGACTTCCATCCCCCTTGCTCTGAGGTGGACCTGATAGGATTTGTAGTTTCTGTTGTAAAAAAAACAGGTAACACACAGTGTATGTCATTGTCGCTCTCTGTTGGTTCCCTTGAACTATGTTATCTTGTAAGATTTGTCTTCCCTACGATTAGTCAAGAGTCCCTAGGTGGTGCAAACGATTAAGCGCTCAGCTACTAACCAAAAGGTTGGCAGTCCAGATCCACCCAGAGGTGCTTTGGAAGAAAGGCCTGGCAATGTGCTTCCCCAAAAGTTAGCCATTGAAAACCCTATACAACACGGTTCTACTCTGACACACGTGGGATCACCATGAGTCGGAATCAACTCAATGGCAACTGGTTTTCTTCTCTTCTTAGAGTTGTGTTTTCTTATGGATTGGACTCTTTTTGTCTTTTGCTACGCTCTTTTCTCCATTAAAAAAATTTTTTTGTTGGTTTGGTTCTGTTTTAGTGCTGTGTGGGATGTTTTTGGTGTAGTATGTTAATATGCTGCATTGTTGCCATGGAATTTCATTTCATCTTGGTCATCCTTGGGTGATTCCACACGTTATACAGAGTATATATTGTATATAGAGCATTATAGGGTAACTCATTGCTAATGAGTTGATTTAAATTCATGGCAATCCTATAGGACAGAATAGAACTGCCCCATAGGGTTTACAAGGCTGTAAATCTTTGCAGAATCAGACTGCCACATCTTTCTTCTAAGGAGCGGCTGGTGGGTTCAAGCCACTGACCTTTAGATTAGCAGCAGAGCGCTTAACCACCGCATCACCAGGGCTCCTTATATGTAGGGTAGGTAATTTTTATTCATTTATTCAACCAGTATTTATTGAATTCCTGTTGTGGAGCAGGCAGTGTTCTAAGTCCTGAGTACATAGCAATGAGCAAAACAGAAAAATAAATCCCTGCCATCACGGAACTTACATTATGGCAAGGGAGAGTGACCACAAACAAATAAGTTATGTGTGCGTGTGCGTATTATTTACTATGTATATTATTTAAGTGTAGTGAGTGTCAAGGAGAAGGGGGGGAAGGGTATAATTTTAGATAGGGAGGTGAGGAAAGACCTCCCCGGGAAGTTGACATTTGAGTGAAGACTTGAAGGAGTGTGGCATGTGGACATCTGGGAAAGAACATTCCAGGCAGAAGGAAGAGCAGTTACAAAGCCATGATGAAGCAGGATCATTCCTGGGTTGTTCAAGACTTGGTGAAGAGGCCAGAGAGTGAGTCTTGTCAGCTGAGGAGAGAGAGGCCACTGTCTTAGGCTGGGTTCTCTTAGAGAAGCAAAACCAGTAAAGAATATAAATATGTATATATATATAGAGAGAGAGATTTATATCAAGGAAATGGCTCACGCAGTTGTAGAGGCTGGAACGTCTCAAGTCCGTGGATCAGGATAGAGGCTTCTCCTGATTCACGTAGGCACGGTGGCTGGCGAACCCAAGATCAGCAGGTCGGAGAGCAGGGCTCTTGCTCACAGGCTGTGAAGATCGATGAATCTTAAAGATTGGCAGGCAGGACTGCAACTAAGCTGCTAGCTCAAGTCTCAAGAACCAGAGATGAGACGAACAGAAGCCAGCTGCAGAATCCAGAACGAGCGAAAGCCCACAAGCCTTGCCAGAATGTCCACTTACATTCAGTGCACGCCACATGCCCAAGGAAACTCCCTTTCAACTGATTGGCTGCTCATAGCAGATCCCATCATGGAGGTGATCACATAATACCAAATCTCATCATGGAAGTGATCACACCATCATACGACTATCAAATCATGAGAATCACGGCCCAGCCAAGCTGACACACACCCTTAACCATTACAGCCATGAAGGACCAGATCACGTGGTATCATTGTGTGGACTTGGACTTTGACCTGAGCGTAATGGAAAGTCACAGGAAGGTTTCCAGTAGAAGAGTGACCGGATTTGGGTTTTAACACCATCACTCAAGCTGCTATGTTGAGACTAGACTGTAGGGGGTGTTAGGATAGAGACAGGGAAGCCAGTTGGAGGTTCTTACAATAACTGAGATAAGAGGTGATGATGATGGTAGCTTGGAGCAGGCAGAAGCAGTGGAAGTGGAGACAAGTGGGCAGATCCTAGATGTATTCTGAAGGTAGGGATAGTGCAGGGTCAGTGAAGGATCAAGGGGCCAGTGCCAAGGTTTTTGGTCTGAGCAGCTGAAAAACAGAATTGCCATTTGCTGAGAGGGGAAGACTGCAGCGTGCAGAGCAGATCAGGAGCTCAGTTTGCACAGTTAAGTTTTGGATGCTTATTGGATGTCTAAGGAGAGACGTCTTCTTGGCAGATACCTAGGAGTCTGTTCGGAGCTGGGCTGAAGATACGAATGTGGGAGTCATCAACATACCCCACTGCCACTGAGTCGATTCCAACTCACAGCAACCCTGTAGGACAGGGTAGAACAGCCCCATAGGGTTTCCAAGGCTGTAAATCTTTACAGAAGCAGACTGCCACGTCTTTCTCCTGCAGAGCAGAGAACCACTCACCTTTTGGTTAGCAGCCGAGTTCTTAACCGCTGCGCCACCAGGGCTCCTTCATCAACACGTAGATGGTGTTTAAAGCCATGAGACTGGATGAGATCATTGTGGGAGTGGGAATGGATAGAGAAGAGAAGAGAGCCAGAGCCTTGGAGGCGGGGGAGATGTAGAGAAGGCAGGAAAAGAAGCGGGAGGAGTGGCCGAAGAGGTGGGAGGCGGACTTAAGAGAGCGAGGTGTGCCGAAAACCAAGAGAGAGGAGAGCAATTAGCTCTGTCAGATGTGGACTGAGAATCGGTCATTGGCTGTAGCTCCATGAAGGGGCATTTTGGGTGGGTGGTGGGAGTGAACGGTGGAAGCAAGGCAGGGGAAACGGAGGGAGAAAAAATAAGCAGTGAACATAGGTGTTTCAGGGGAAGAAGACAGTCGGAGCGGTAGCTAGAAGGGGAGTTGGCATCTAGAGAAGGTGTTTTCTCAGATGGAAGTGGGGAGATTTCACGGATGAGGTGTCGAATGCTGATGGAAAGGACCCGATAAAGAAGGGGCACCTGTGGAGCAAGGTCCCTCAGTAGCCGTGTGGGGTGGCCTCCATCTAGTGGGTGTATGGTGAGCTTGGCCTAGCCTGTAGCAGAGACGGGTAATCCGTAGTCACAGAGAGAAAAAGGGAGAAGTACCTGAGTACAGGTACAAGGAATTGTTGATGTGGACGTGGAAATGTGGAACAGGCCTCTTCTGGTTGCTTCTGTCTCGTTGCTGAGATGGATAATAAAATCCTTAGCTGGGAGTCAGGATAGAGGAAGGACATGAAGTCAGGATGCCATAAAGTGGAGGAGGGACTGGACCGGGCAAACATACGATGGCCGCCAGGGCCCGCTTGAGGTTCATGATCATGATTTTAAATGAAACTAGTCAGCGTGCTTGTGTGGTATCTCTCCATCCACGTTCAGCTGTGATGGTGCAGGCACGGCCCAGTGAAGGAATTCCAGGAGCTCCAGAGAGGTAGGAGAGTGGATCAGAAAAGGCAGGTGCAAAACCTTCTGGAAATGGAGTTCAGGGAATGCAAGATGACCTGAGGTTAGTTCTGATGGTCCCCGGACGGACAGTGGAGGTGAGGCAAGGTGTGTGGGGAAGAGGGAGACGGGAGGACACTTGTGTTCCTTGTAGTTCGTGATCTTTCTACCGTATCTAAGACCAATTTGTGTTCTCTCTTACTTAGTGTGAGGGCTGGATATTTGAGTTACTATCCATTATGTATTCCATACCTCAGAAGACATCATCTCTGGGGTGACCCTGGGGCCTTCACTTCACCTCAGAAGATGTCATCTCTGGTCATTTTCCCCAGCTCAGGGGAGTGACCCTGGGACCTTCACTTCAGTCAGTACTGGTCACTTGTTTTTCCCTGCAGACATTTCCATTATTCCTGGATCAGAAGAGGAAAAAGATAAGGATACCCACTCTGATATCCCTACATTGGCTGTTCATCAGATTCAGGGATACAAGAATTCTGTTTTATCGCATTACTGGTTTGGCTTGGGGAAAGGGGATGGGAAGCTCAGCCTTCTCGTGTTTCCTGGCTCTGGCCCCAATCTCCTGCTTCTTTCCTTCATCAGCAGATTCTAACTTCTGTATCAGGATGTTGCCATTTGGAGGTTTTTGGTGAATTTTTTTTTTATATTTAACTTGCTGTTAAGTGTTAAAAACCCATTGCTGTGGAGCCTACTCCGACCTCTGGCGACCCTGTGTGTCAGAGTAGAGCTGTGCTCCCAGGGGTTTTCAGTGGCTGATTGTTCGCAAGTAGATTACCAGGCCCTTCTTCCAAAGTGCCTCTGGGTGGACTTCAATCTCCAACCTTTGGGTTAAGTGTGTTAACCTTTTGTACCACCCAGGGACTCCATGTTAAGTGTTAGAGGAAAAAAATTCTATTGGAAAATTTCAAAGTGTCACTTTAACACAGAGGTCCTATTATCTTTCTAATACCCGAATCTAATCACGAGTCTTCCCAGCTTAAAATTTTCAGTGGCAGGAGCCCTGGGGGCGCAGTGGTTAAGTGCTAACTGAAACGTCAGCAACTTGAACCCACCAGCTGCTCCGCAGGAGAAAGACGCAGCAGTCTGCTTCTGTAAAGACGACAGCCTTGGAAACTGTGGGGCAGTTCTACTCTGTCCTGTAGGGTCACTATGAGTCAGAATCAACTCGATGGCAGTGGATTTGTTAACAGGTTTAAGTACTGGCTCAGAAAAATAGAAATAATTTTTTTTTAAAATTCTTCAGTGGCTCTCTTTCCCCTAGAAAAAGAAACCCAAACTTCTTGGTATGTCTAAAAAAATAAAAAATAAAACCCTTCAACTTCATGCCTTAAACCACCACCTGACACACCTCACGCTCCTGCCTTTAGTAATGCTTTTCCCTTTGCTTAGAGCACCCCTCTACGCTGTCTGTGCCTTCTTCCCACTGTTATTCAGCTAGCCAGGTGCTTACACTCTGGCTTAGCCGGCCCTTCCCCCAGCTCTGGTAGCACTTTGTATGTTTGGCTGGTTCAGCTCTCGTCACATGGC